TGCCGTCGGGTGCGGCCGCTCCCCGCCTGCTGCAGGTGCAGCTCCAGCGCTCGCGCCTGGACCCCCCCAGCACCTGCCGGGTGGCCCACCCCGGCCACCACTGTCTGAGCCGAGCCTACCATCCCCGCTCCAGGTCTGCTCTGCCGTGGTCCGTGCTCTGGGCTCCCCGTGGGTGACACCCCACCACTGAATCGGGGGAACCCCATTTCAGGCTCTGTTTCTCAGGAGTCCCAGCCTGAGAAGGTGCACGTCCCCAAACACAGTTCCGCCTCTAACTGCACGCCCAGCAGAACGAGCATGGCCGGCAGTCAGGACACACGTGTGAGAGGGCTCTCGAGCCCAAATTGGAACCACAGAGACACAGGCCGGTGCCGAGTGGACACATTTCAGCTCAGCGAGGCCGGCCTGTCGGCAGACGGCACTGACCAGCAGGGCAGAGCAAGGCGGCAGCCCTCAGACTGTGACCTTGCTGGAAGCACGTGGTCGTCACTGTGCCGGGAAGCATCAGAGGGCTGGACAGGCTGGAGCCCCTGTTGTCCCGCAGACTCACGACACAGGGGCTGCCATCTTCCAGGGCTAGCCGTGTGGTGACGGGAGGCATCTTCCCACACAGGCAACGCATGTGAGAGGTGGGTTAGTTAAGACGAGCAGCAATGTGCCTGGTGACCTTACAGATGGAGAGAGACACAGAGACACACCCAGGAGACGGCGTGTGACTGCCTCCAGAGAGGCCAGAGTGATGCCGGGGTCACCGGGCACCAGACGCTGGGAGGGAGGGAGGCTGGGCCGCATGCCCTCTCAGGGCCCCACAGGAGGGACCAGCCCCACCCACAGCTGACTTCAGACTCGCCTCCAGAGAGAACGAATTCCTGGCGGTCCTGGCCCATGGCCTCGGTGCTCCCAGGACACTGGCACAGACGGCGAGCCTGCCGGACGTCCGGGACCGCCTCGGCACTCCAGACTCACCCGCCTCCCCTGCTGCCTCCCCCTGCCTGGTGCCTCCCCTTGTTCTCCACCCGGAACAATCTCCTTCGTACTCCCGGCCCCTGCTTTCCAACCGCTTACCTCTGCCGCCATCACAGCTTCTCTTGGACACCACCTCTGAAAGCCTGCTCCGACCCCTGCCTCTGTGCTGGGCCCCTGGTCAGCGCTCCTCGAACCTCCCCCACTCTCCCCAGGCCTCCCCAGCAGGTGTCCCATGGGACGGAGCATGCTCACTGTCTCCCCGGTGTGTGGAGAGCTCCCCTGGGAATGAGCCGGCCCCATTCGCTTCTGCCAGCGTCTGCAATGGACCTGCACACAGCAGACAGTGGGGCTTGATGAGCACTCACAGATGAATGAGTTAAGGGGTAGGTATTTAGATGGCTGGGCAGCGGGTGGATAGGAGGAGGAGGGGAGAAAGGAGGGAGGGAAGAGGGGTGGAAGAATGGGTGGGCGGGTGAAGTCTAGACAGACGAAGGAGGGAGGGAGGGCCGATGGCAAGCAGTTGGGCTGATGGGTGGATAAATGGATGAATGGTGGACGGGTGGACGGATGGGTGAGTGGATGGAGGGGCACTTGGGTGGGTGGACGGGCAGGCGGGTGGGTGGAAGCACAGATGATGGAAGGCCCTGTATCGCATCTGAAAGTCTGTAATTCTGGTCCAATCTCACCCCCGGCCGGGCTAGACACATGAATGCTGTGTTTGGTGTCTGTTCTCCAAGGAGAGGTAAGGCTGTAACACAAGTGAAATGCGTTCATTTCAGAACACCTGAAGTGTTCTCTCCACTGATGCGGCGTGGGAACCAAGCTCCCGGAAGGTAGGGGCTTCCTGCGCCCGGCCTTCCACCCACGGGAGGCCTCGGCGCCTCGGTCCGCGCTGCACTTTGTCGTCTGATTGATGCTCTTCACCCAGTGACCTTTAGACAGAGTCTGAGTGATAAAGCCCAGAAAAGCCGTGTGATTTTTTCCTTTGAGAGAAGCATTTTAGCGAAGGTTTGGCAACAGTGAAACAGGTGATTTAAAGGGTAAACGGATTCCTCCGTGTTTGGCTTTTTCTGTTCTGTTCCCCAATCCTTTAATCTCTCTGCGGTGCTCCCGATCAGCCACGTCCGTGGCCTCTGCTTGTCTCCCGGTCACTGACAGCAGGGAAAGGTCACCTTTTTCGAGACAGTTAATTAGCA